TGACTAACCGATTTGTGGGCGCGTGTGGTGCAGTGGTCGGAGGCGTCTTGCGACACAGACGTGGAATCGATCCCCGTGCCCATGGTCTACCAAGTCTTCCATCCCTCTGGAGTCGACAAATTGGTACCAGACTTGTCTGGGAGAACAGCAGCACTAGGTCGACACATTGGTGGGCCACCGAGTCATTGTAAAGGCCAGATATGCATTCAATCACCTCCAAACAATGCTTAATGAAGTCGAGTGCATGGCGCATCCCTCAGGGATTGATCAACGTCGAAAGCTTTGTCCTTTTTTAACCGATTTGAAGTGATGACGATGACCACCAAATAGCTATTGCAACTTGAAACGTGCACGCGCGATAAATGGCTCAGATAATTTAAATAATGGTGGAATCCAGCGCCAATTCATCCAAACGCAGCAACCATATTGCGTTACACTTGAGCGAATCACTGAGAAACGATGGCGATAACGCGAATGATTTTAGTTATGTCGTGAAATTTCCAGAAACGAATCCAGAAATTTTTTCCCGCTCGAGAAACGGCGAATTTGCGACAAATTCAGCAGCTTTTTTAAAATTAGCTCCGTATTTAGGATCTGAAAAGTGTCGAAAACGAGAAGTGCAAATATATTAGCGGTTAGCGTAATCCTCTCTTGCCAAATGACTGTCTCTCGTGACAGAAAATTGATTAGGATCGGGTTTAGAGAATGTGTCTAGTTTGGTTCGTTAGGTAGCCATTTGATTCACGATATACGGCTGATGACCAATATAACTTGGTGCAGGACTAAGCTTATGAGCCGCTCATGGTTCAGAACAGTTCGAAAACGGCTAACGCTTTGAGGTTCGAAAGGTTCTTGCTTGAATTCACGAAGATCTAACGGTTTTCATCACTAATCAGTCAGCTAACAATCCTATTGTAACTTTTTCCTAGTTAGAGTTATTTCGGGATAAGTCTTTCAAAGTTCTTCATGACCAAGGAATATTTCAAGGTGAAAAAGACTACTGCTAATATTAAATACTAATACTAAAAGACTATATATTCTACAAGAAACCGGTGTTTGCTCACTAAGAACTCAGATTTGCAAAACGTTCTGCCCTTTGTGATTTTCTAAAATGTAGGCAAAACTACGAGGCTCAGTTGAGAAGCTCGGTTTACAGAATTAAATGCAGAATACTATCTATTCCTGCTGAGCAAACGCGAGGTGTTATTTTATTCTTTGTCCACCAAAAAGCTGACGTTTGGGCAGATTTCGCCTTCCTCAGAGCCTAGAAAGGTCCAGTTGACCGCAATCTACCCAGCCAAACACTTTCATAACCAAACAGAGAAAACAACTCGACCTTTCCAGGCTCTGAGGAAGGCGAAATCCGCTGAAACGTCAACTTTTTGGTGGGTAAAGAATAAAATAACACCTCGCGTTTGCTCAGTAAGAATAGAAAGAATTATTTGATCAATGCCAAGAGTGATAGAAAGTCGGTCGTAGGAATTAAATTCATAATATTTTACCAACAGTTTTATGCCCGATTTCTGCTCTATGCCCGCTCTAATGATAATTCTACATTTGCATTGGATTTCGTATTCGTGTAATTTTTCATTTGGCTCTATCCTATTCCGATTTATTTCGCTAGGAAAATTAACCCATTTTTCAAGCCAAGGGGCGGCAAGGATTAAGAGGACGTTGAGAATTCTGGTCAAACAGGGTAACCGAGAAGAACATCACGCTCCACTCTCCACCGAAATCGTTTAATCAGCACTCCTCGACATCCCTTCGACTCGTACATTTATTCGTTTTTAACTCTTTACCGTGAAATTTCCGAAGCAAAAATAATGTGCTGTCAGAAATTTTGACAATAAGAGTCTTCATAAATACAAAAATATACAATATAAGAAAATATAATATAAAAAAAATATAAATACGGCTTCCATCATAATTTTGTTTAAGACCAGCACTCAATGGCATAAGTAGCATTGGAACCCACACATAAAAACACAATGAACTTTCTTCGGTCATGGCAATATATTTTTGCAAAACTCTGGACCGTAGGTGTCTGCGGTGGGGAACAAACGCGCTATTACGCTTTCCGCGGAGTAACGCGTTCACCACCACACCATGCGGCTCCTACGTTTCGCCTGTCTCTCAGCTAGTTCTATCGATCTTTTGCCATCGGCAATCACCCATCAACGAGATTGATCTGGGGAGCTCAAATCAGCGTTCAACCCAGTTAAGCTGAGGCTATAGTTGAAATCAGACATCGAAAGAATTTTCTGTTAAGATGAATATCTTTTCGTCTTCTCTAGCACAAACTATTATCGTTGCAAATTTCTCGAGGTAAACACTAAGCATGTGGGAAACAAAAGAAAAATCAGTGTTAAGTTTGTGTATGATCGGAATATTTCGAGAAATTTTATTATCACTAAGCAAGCATTCTAAAATTGGCGTCTATTTCTCCTGACTTTTATTTGCTGCCTATTCTTTTTCGTGGCAAAGTACGATGTGAAATACAACCACTGGTTCACTGGCAAAACAAAACCCCAGCTGGGCTTCAAACCAACAATTATCCTTATCGAGTGCGCATGTGCTGTCTACCAAGCTAGCCAAGGCCAGGGTCTTGCCTTTTAAAGGGAAACCAAGAAAGAAAGTCGAAGCAATACCTCGGTTTGTGTTGTGGATGTCAAGTGAACCCCCGGTAAGGGTAGTCACAGTTTCGAATCCCATCTCAGGCTCCGAATTTTGCTCATATCTCAGTATCCTGATCTTTCATTTGTCTGTTTTCGAGTTTCACACGTAAAGCATTGGGAAACGTAAGACCATAGCTTAGGCGCGTCTAAGATAACCAACGAAACTGTTCCCGTTCAGGGTGAACACCTTAAAGATGATGTGGACGTTGTCGTCGAAACACGTTAGAACGAATCAGAGCATTTCATTTGTCATGTTAATGTTTTCATGGCTTGATTTCCTATTTCCACCTCTTGAACTATAAAGTCATGACGCCCTAACTTTTATTTTTCGTTGTTTTTCATGGCATCGTGTGGTGTGAAATACAACCAGAAGGATGCTGCCGTTGGTAATAGCACCGATAGGGTAAAAACATAGTAAAGAGAAAGCAAATCAAGAGCCTCGGTTGGTGTGTTGGACAGCGCGTTAGCCCCCGGCAAGGGTATCTGCGCGTTCGAAGTCCAAATATGAATCCGAGTTCTGCCGATGTCTTCGCAAATTTATCGTTATAAATCGTTTCGATGAGCGAAAAACTGTGCTCCATACTGGTCTGGAATTAATGAATTAAGTATTCAAAGCCGCTTACACTCTTGGACCAAAACCAACCAGATTCATTTAACTGGTACGAAAACTGGTAACAGCAAGAGTACTCTATATTACCGGCCTTCCGCGTAATATGTTCTGGATGGGTATTCACCTAGAAGGTGTCATTACAAACCGATTGCCGACGAACACCGCTTGAAATGAGATGGCAAACGAGTAACCACTTTCTTTGCATTATCGGTCCGATCAGCTGTAGAGGAAGCATGTAATCAAAGGAACGCGAACAACACAGACGTGCTACCCCATACAGGAATTTTAGGAAAAGCATTTAAGAAATCATTTAGCACTTAAAATTTAGAATGCCAATTTAATTTAGCAATTTAGACTTAGATTTAGCAAAAAGCACTTAGGGAATCTTCGTTATTCTCAGCGAGGTCGTTGATTAAAGGAAAAAGAAAAGAATCGATCTTGGTGGATTCTATTGAGATGTTTCTAAACCTTCACCTTGAATTTGGTTCTTATTATTATTGTCGTTGTTAAGTAATATCTTCAAACATTCAAAGTTCGTCTTCCTTAAAGTGTATACTGCAGCAATTTGCTTTCACAAATATCTATTTACGCTCGAAACTTGCCCGAGAAGACTTCAATACTAATGGCAATGGGAAGAAGAAAAAGCTATCTTATTGCGCTGCTGCATCCATTTTTCCTATTTTTCATTCGAGCCCAAAGGCTTGCTCCAACTAGAAAATAAAATCCCAAGCTTCAAGTCTTAAATGAGTCTTAAAACAAGGTTCAAGAGATTTTAGAAAGCTGTTCCTATTAGATATTTAGAATTCCCTTACTAGTCAACTGGAGTTTGCAGGGTTTGTGGCGAAAAAGCAGCGGACGAAGGACGTCGTCAATGACAGTGTCCAAAATCGTGAGTGGATGGAAAGTGGCCATAGGCTCACGAAAGACTACTCAGATGCCCATGGAAGGTGCTTTTTTTGAATTGATTTCCGGGTGTCATAGTGGCTGAAACCTATGTTTTATTCTTGAAACATCCGTTGGCGCTTTTATAATCTACATTGTGGTCGTTTTTTCCCAACTTCCAGCACACATGTGTTCACATTGCAAGGAGGCATATGAGATTAAGTCATTAAAGTCAGAAAACAGAAAAATGGAAAATTTCATAAGCCCATGTGGCTTATGAAACGCTCCACAACTTGTGATGGATAATAAAAAGTTCTATCGCGTTATCGCACTGAAAATTCTCAGGTGGAAGACAAAGTGATTAACAACGATCGAAAGTTGCCATCAACTTGCCTATGGTGCAAGTATATTCAGAAGATGAGTTTATCGCCTTTGCTGTTCCGCAATGACTCTTACCTTCACCTTCTATGAGCAGCTGTATTCGGCTGAGTGACTGGTACGTAGAACACGGGCGGTTCAGGCTCTTCTCGAACAAGCTTTATGTAAACTTGAACAGAACTGGACAAGCTATTCGCAAGCGTTCTCGCTCCTACGACAGAACCAACCTTTGAGTATAGCGTTGACAGAAACAGATATAATAAGGATGCCATACAAGAAGCGTGGTGCTTTTGATTTGGGCAAGAGGCCATCTGTTCACCCTTCCGTGAAGAGGGTATTAAATGGTTTATCCGTTTCCTGCTTGATTTGCTCAAAGATTGTCGGAATTACTGCAGTATTTTATTGATTAATAAAACTTGCACAATTTTTATGCCGTTCACATCCGCTTCCCACCAATGTGGTATGTATGTGAACTACGTACAGATGTTTATTGCAGACTGGCTTCGTGGATACAGTTAAATGCACGTCCTTTTCTACCAGTTCGACAACCGCGAACGACACTCAACGTGCACGTCAGCGCCGGGCTGTATCAGATTGTTGACTTGGTGAGTTTCATTAGAAAGTATCTAGGTTAAGCAACTTTAGATCTTCTCTCCCACTACAAAATCAGAAAAAGTGGCATGAGTCGCGGCCATATCACTTGTTCATCACCTGTGATTCGCATAGTTCCCTCTGCAAAGTCAGCCGGGCTCGTTTCTTGGCAATAAAATGTTAACGTCGAAGACTGTAACCAACCACAAGCAAAAGCACTGCTCACCATGTCACTAAATGTGCACCTGCTATCTCTTAACAAAAACGACCAATTCTACAGACCCATTAAAGTTATAAGTTAATCGGTGTCGACTAAAAGTGTAAAAGAAAAATATCGCCTTTCAGAAAGAACAGGCTTCGAATGTGGTGAATTTAATGCTCAAAAATCTTGTAAACATTTTAGTATCATTGCTAATCTAGAATATTTCATCAAGGGATAAACATCGGCGCCCACATTAGCTTTTCATGACGTGACACCTCTCCGAGGCACAATTTAAATGAACTAGTGCACTCTTGCCACTTATGAACATATTTTTGATAAACTTCTCAAGAGGGAATATGGCGGGGTCCAATAGGTGCCTTTTAGACTACTACGCTTGCGCTTCGATCGCATGACATGCCACTTTGTGCGAATTGGCTTATCGGCTCATCGGCCAGCCAGATGAGAGACGAATGCTTCGGCATTCACAACATTGGTCCCATAATTAAAAGATGATGATTTTGAAACTTCAATGGAAACAGGTAACCCTGTAGCTGTAGTTGTAACCACTATCCATCTTGCTTGAGACCACTTTCCGCCCCCGTGCTACGTCAGCACGGCCCGTCTTCAGGGAGCAATTGACGGAGCTGCAAAGTAGACTTGAATGGGAGCGCCGGCTATTCGATCACTACAATAATCGCTAATGCACTGCTCTTTGGCATATTTACAACTGTTCAATTCGATGGAAAGCGAGCATAAAGCCAAAAGGACGAACGTGCTAACCGGAAGAAAACGCAAACGGGTGTAAATAGTGGACGGTGATCACAATGAGAACGCGCTAGTTGATTTATTGCAATGGTATCCCGCAGTCACTGCAGGCACGCTATAAGCGCCTCAGTGGCAAAAAGTATCGGTGCTGGGTGCTCCTCGTTTGGAAGTAGAGCTTGCCAGCCCGTTTCAAAATTCGTTTAGATAAAATCCGAACACAGTTTGAGTCGCTGGGAAAATCATCGGAAGTGGTTTCAATATTGGTTTCAAACTAGTGATTATTACTAACAATCTCTACATACACTTTCTTATTTGCAGCAATTAACAAGCTTAACAATTAAAATACACACAACACACACACACAAGCACGCACAAGCCTAATTAACAAGCTTAAAGGGTGCGTCAAATTTTTTCTAAATGCTAAGTCACAGTTTTCTTTTTTGGTAGATTCGTAGTATTCATTAACCCTTTTGACGAACCTGGTTTCTCAACAATCGACGGTTATTTGCTCGTTAGTAGAGTATTTCAAGAGCTCATAACTCTATGGATTTTACACAAGTGACTTTGCCTTATTGCTATAACTCCATATGCTATTTTTGTACAGTATCTTTATAAATTAGAGCACACGTGGCGCAGTGGTCGGAGGCGCCCTGCAACACACACGTGGAATCGATTTCCGCGACCATGGCCCGGCAAACCTTCCATCCCTCCAGGGTCGGTAAATTAGTACCGAACTTTTTTGGGAGGATGGCAGCACTAGCTCAATGAATCGGTTGGTTATTGTATAGGCGATATGCATTCAATCACCTCCAAACGACGCTTAATGAAGTCGAATGCATGGCGCATCCCTTAGCGATTGATCAAAGTCGGGAGCACTATTACTATTATTATTATCATTATTATTATTATTATTATTTATCAGTATAAATTATAACATGTCTAGAACTGCGACTTTTGAGATACTGGTAGCGAAGTCTAGAAATCTTTTGAGATTTCCAACTGAAGATTAACAACTGCGAAGATATGAGCGATACTTTAGGGAACAGCATCGTGTCATTCTGAGCGAAATCCCTCTCGTTTCCTTTCTATTCAAAATATAATCCTTGAAACAAAAAAACTGAAGAAGTACATATCTGGACCCAAGAAAATAAGCTTCTTCCTACAAAGAAGCATGAGAACTTTTATCTTGTAGGCAAATACCCATCGGTTTTAATAGTCTTCATTGGAATTAATGAAATTCACTACGAGACTACAATATGTTGACGTGAAGCTGTAAGCTCCCTTAATTTCGCATCCCATGGCTCCTATAGAGGTCACGTCATTGCGTGTGTGTAAATAAAGAATTGCCTTCTACTTAATGGAATACTTTCCAATTTTTACTTTTGGCTTCAGTGTTAGCCTTAGTTAGTTATTGCATTAGAAGAGGTATTATTACGACAACCTGTATTGTGATAATTCTCGTAACGGAACAAAATTTCTGAAAAGTTGTGCTGAAGAAGGCCATAAGTCCAGCCTTTAACATCATTTATAGCTCATAGCTTAGTGTTGCGCACACTTTAAAGTTCCTCGCTATAATCAGAAAGCTGTTGAAGAATGCATCTCCAAGGTCCCTGCATCACGTGAAGCTACCAAGAATTATGGAAGTCGGTTAGATGATTGCGAACTTCACAGAAGAACAGATTGATTCCCATTAGATTTCAACTCCGTCCGATTTCGTTGCTGAGTTTACCACGCTCTGGCGACTGGTCTGTTCGGAGTTATTCTATAAAATTGCGATTAAAGGAATGCAACGACAAACTAAACGAGAGAAGTGACTTGGAAAAATGGCCGTGTGAAGATTGCTCCTTGCATAACTTCACGTGCTGGCGATTGCAATCTTGCAGAAATTGGACTTTGTAATATTGTGTAAAATGGGGCTTGCATAGGTAAAAAGGATTCTTCCACATATAGAAATGGACTGAGGCGAACTTTTCTCAGGCGCATTGTCACGTCTGAGTCCGAACCTCGGCACCAACTTGGCATGACTCCGTTTAAATATGCAGGGTTCTGAAACCAATTTCTAATCCTTGGTTTTATTCTTTGTGCAAAATCACTGGAATGAAACCAAACTCAACTGACTGAGCTGTTTTGGACAAATCGGCTTAAATGGGAGCGAAGAGCGGTCACGTTTTTTGAAAGAGAACTCTCTAACTTCAAATATTTTTTAGAGTGCACTAAACGTCGGCCATCCGTCTTTTCTTTAGTGTCTTACTTTTTGAGTAGTTCCCTGTGGCTAATGCCCAAAAATCAATAGAAGACGAATCGTGTTCATGCCATTGCTAGTGTCTTTGTTCTTTGATTTGTGGCAGTAAAGAAACGTTCTTTGTTTATAAAACTCACATGTCAAAGTCGGTTTAGCGCAAATTTCAAACGCATCGTTAATAGCTGAAATTAAATGAAGACTTTGCAAAAAAATTGCAATGATCTATAAGGACAATTGATGTTCTTGACATAGAGGATAAAGGGAGAACTTCTTGGCGTTAATCAATCCTTACTGGATGCGCCAGGCATTCGACTTCATTGAGGATTCGAGGTAACTGAGTGCACTCCTGGGTTGTACGATGGATTACAGTAGCCCACCGATGTGCCAACAAATCAGTGCTCCTATCCTCCTAAACAAGTTTATCACCAGTTTGTCGACAGAGAACGAATTTAGGATTAGATAAGTCGCTACGCTTGAACGGACCAACAGTGAGCTTTCCAGTTTGTATTGCAGCGCTTCTCTAAACACAGTGCCGCACGCGATCTTTAAAAAACTCCACCTTATTGAAATTAAAGAAGCTAATCCTTTTAAAGTAGCACGGTGAAGCATAACTAAACAATGGATAGCGATCATTGAGAACAAATGAAGGATCTTTTAGCTACTCATTTTCTTGTGCTCTTGGCTTCCTCCATAGAAGTGAGTAGACTTTTCTAAAGGTTTAGAGAAAGTTGGTCCCTAAATACAATTTGCACAGCACAGTTATTGGAAATGTGATTTGGGTCCTGCGAAAATGAAGATTTACCGTAAGCTGACTTGGCTTGCAATTTTTAATCCTTAAATCTTTTGATGATTATCCGCCTATCCTTTAAGACAATATACATAATGTTCGACTATCTACATAGATCTCCAGGCCTTGGTGACACCTTCACCGCATCACATATTTCATCCCCATCTGTCTCAAGAACGAGTAACCAGTAGATATATTCAGTCATTCATAATCAGTGTACTTTATGTCTTTGAAAATGATATTTTGAATGTTATATCTGTTCAGGACCAACGAAACAATTTGGCGACAGTGTCGGCGTACTTCGACGTATGGTGGTTGGATGAGTACCTGGTCTGGAACGCTACTGAATATGACGGTCTCGCCAAGATATTCGTACCAATGAAGTGGATTTGGAAGCCAGAATTCTATATGTATCACAGGTGATAAAGAACTCAGTACGCACCAAACGAACGTGATTGATTCATCCAACTATCTTCCTCCCACGCATTTATGAACCGCATTTTGAATCCACAATGAGAAGGCCTGTTCCAGAAACTTTTGAAATTTCAGGAACGAAATCATAGGAGGGTATTGTGATAAAAGAAGATAACTACTGCAACCATTATGCAAACATTGACATACTGTCATAAGGGAGTAGGTCGTACATACAATTCGTAAATGATCTTGCGTATGAAAAAGGCATTTTATACTTGTTTATGAGTCCGCTTCCATCGACTTTCTCGAGTCCTCTAAGTAAAAGGGTTTATTTGGCGAAAAAAGTAGTGAAATTTGATAGCTCGAGATAAGTATACGAACGCAGTTCAGTGTGTACGGTCGTGTTCCCGACTATGCTCCGGATGCTCCGGCGCAGATTCAAGCCGACGGAAGAGTACGCATGTTCGTGTCGATCTCGTCGAAGAGCTTCTGCCCAATCAACTTTAAACGTTTTCCGTTTGATTCTCAAACGTGCTCATTTTCGGTACGTTTCATCTTTTAAGAAACTATTAGAAGTCAACGAGACTTCCGTTACTACACACTGTTTCTCTTTAGTCCTGCATGTTTCCACACGTTAACCTCTCTCAGTATTTGGGATTATCATGGTTAGCACGTAATGAAGTATTCATCTCCCACGACCGACTTTCTATTAACCTCGGCATTGATCAAGCAATTATTCGTATTTTTTTTGTTGAGCAAACGCGAGGTGTTATTGTTCTTTGTTCACGAATACGCTGACGTTTCGGCGGATTTCGCCTTCCTCAGAGCCTGGAAAGGTCAAGTTGACAGCAATCTACTCGGCCAGACGCCTCCATAACCAAACAAAGAAACTCTAAACCAAGATTTCAATCACATTGAACACAGAGTCTTTGCACACTCACCGCTTTCTATGAGTCTTCCACTAAATATGTCACGTAGAGACCAACCGCACAGAAATCACATGGAAGCATCAGCATCAACATCATCATCAGTACCCCTCCCATCAGAATAGCAGTCTTATATACTGCCCTATATCACGCGTGATAATGAGGCATTCTTCCCTGCGGTTCATTTTCGGATTTTTGGAATTAATCCAGAGTGCCTCGAGAGTTCTTCGCGCCTGTGTTCTTGATTCGCGTGCGAGGATCGTGACACATACTTCGAAGTCGTCCCCGTTATGTCTCCGGGTCCTATGCGTGCCTAGCGGGGTATTTGGTCTATTTTTGCCGGCTAGGTGTTCTTTCATGCGGACACAGAGGGGTCTACCCGTTTCGCCAATGTATTCGTCACCACACGTCTTACAGGAGATCAGATAAACTATACCCGAGCTCATTCAATCACCGTCTCTACCACTGGGGCAAACTATTTTTGAGTTGCACATAGACGGTCATATAGGCGGTTACGAACTAGCTGGCGCTTAAGATTACTCGGTGGTATTTCAACTACGCGTACCGAATTCTCTAAACCCGCCCTTCTTAAGCAGCGTTTTATAGCTGTACTTATATCATTTGAGATGAAGGGTAGGATAAACGGGACCCTTCTATCGCTAGAGTTGTCGTTTGGAGGCCTACGATTTCCTCTACACCTATCCTGAGCTACAGTTTCGTAGCCATTAGAAACGGTTATTTGCCGTGCCAAGTTCCGGGACTCCTCTCTCTGCTCTCTTCCCGCGCACACGTTGGTTGCTGTTCGAAACATGTTTCTTATAAGCGCCCTTTTCGTGTGAGAGGGGTGAGAGGAGAGGTAATGAACCAAGATATTTTTACTACTTGGCTTTCGGTACCACTTTGTAATGTAGCCATTTTCTGATAGGTGAATTTGTACGTTCAAAAATGGAAGCCATTTTTCCTTCGGCTTTTCTCGGGTGAACTTGATATACTCGGACTGTGCGTTTAACAATTCGAAGCATTTGTCCATTTCCTCTTGTGTTGAGCAAAGGACAAAGCAGTCGTCTACATACTTACAGTAGAGTAGCGGCCCGAGATCAGTCACCGGTTCTTCCACGTTACACATAAATGCAATGGCAAGGCTTGGAGCCAGTCGTTGTCCCATTGCCAACCCTCTTATTTGAGCGTAGTACTTTCCGGACCATCTGAAGATTGAGCAGCTCAAGCATTCTTTTAAGAGTGCCATCAGGTGCTCTATCTTGAAGCCATACATGTTTATTTCTCCTTCGTGTTGTGTAAGGAGTTCGAATATGGCTTGCATTGCGGAGTCATTGGACACGTTTGTGTAAAGGGCGGTAACGTCGAAGGACTCCATCACGCACGCGCTGTTGGGCTGCGCAGTACGTAGACGGTCCAGAAACATCTGGGTATTCGTAAGATGGGCTGGAATGTGTTTCAACAACTGGTTAAATATTAGGGTTAGCTGTGTGCATCGTGATTGAAATCTTGGTTTAGAGTTTATTTGTTTGGTTATGGAGGCGTCTGGCCGAGTAGATTGCTATCAACTTGACCTTTCCAGGCTCTGAGGAAGGCGAAATCCGCCGAAACGTCAGCTTATTCGTGAATAAAGAATAATAACACCTCGCGTTTGCTCAACAAAAAAATACGAAGAAGTATTCATCTTCAAGTATATTTTCCCTCCCCTGTCTTATTAATTCTAAAGAGCTTGTCGATAATTCGTTTCGAACGTCGTTTAGAAAACTTTTCAGCATAACTTCTACAACTTATGCAAGTATAAGTACCTCTTTATCGAAATATTACAGTCTGGGTGTCAAAAACTTTTAATATTAAGCTTATACTGTTTAAATGCAAGCAGCGAAAAGTACAACGGTGAGCAAATAGGCAAAAAATAAAATTTGGTTAGAGCTAGCCCTGATTGAGAAGTGCTGACTGACGTTGAGACATCGGGCACTTGATGCATACTCGTCACCGTCGACGACAACGCTTGTCGAATAACACATGTTTGGCGTACAATTCGTATAGATTCCTTGGAGACAGTATTCCGGTAGGAGAGTATTGGTGCAAATTGCTGACGTGAGATTGAGTCGATAACTCGTTTTTTGGTCGTTCAGAGTCCATACTGAAGTCTGCGTCTGTTCACAAAATGGCTCCAGGTGAAGATGAACATCTCTGTTGGCGTAGAGCTCGCCACGTATAAATGTAACGAAAGGCGTCAGAATTAGATGGCCATCGCCTTCGGTGCGATTCTCAGTGTCGAAATTGACCTCAACCAGTGGAAACAAAGGTTCAGAGTCATTCCCAGGCACAACTTCAACAAGAAAATGCTCTTTTTTGCTGAAATGAAACGGTTTCAGTTTGATGTACTGGTACTGGACAGCGTATACGGTGTCTGAGGAAAGCGGCATGTGGAAAATACCATTTGTTGAGTCGGCACTAAAATTTGGACTCATTGTTGTTGCTATTTTGATTGTTATCTTTATTTATAACTATTATTGCTATGTGTCGAAAAGGGGACGGGGGATAGCGCAGTGATTAGTGATACCCATGATCAGGAAGCAGAGACGTTAGTTCGACTTCCTCATCAACGCTCTCCCTAGTCCACGCCTTAGCCCGCCCAAATTCAAGATTACAAGGAAAATCGGCTCGAACAGCATTCTATGACATTCGTAGAGAAGAAGCTCAAACAACACGTGAAGTGTCCAAAGACCACTGTGGATTATGGATGCGACCGAAAACAAACCGAATTCTATGAGTGCAGCGATCCGCAAGATGAAATGTAATAAGGGGTCATGTAAAATTTAAAGTGTTGAATAAGATGAAGGAAATAACTTCCAGTGGTCGGACTACCTCCTGGATACGTTATTTTTTACTGGATTAGGTATTTTAGTGCATATTTGGCGTCACAATTAAATGCAGGAGCCTATCGACATATTAAGTTGGTGTTTCGACGCTCCCAGATAAGGCTGGTCTTGCTAACATGAGAGGAATAACATGAGAGGAACTTTTAAGGACTAAGGACTGAGGACTTAATTGGCTTGAGCGGCGAGGTCGAACCAACGACCATGGGCATCGCAGAACTCCAAAACTATCTGCTACCTTTTTTTAATAGTTGAGAAATATAAGCCCCTTTTCTCCTACTCCCGAACAATGTTATCAATTTTTCCTCCTCTCTTTGAGCTTTTGACGGGACAGGAATTTTGGAATCTAATCCCTTTCTACTTTTTCCTTTTTTACCATTCGATATTATGTATTCAAGGCCAAAAATTAAGAAAGTTATAGACTTGAAAGTTTTCGAACGAATTTTGTTGTTATGCTCCGCGAGATTCAAGACGGATAAAGTGATGAGTGCTTCTTCTGCTTTTTCATGTAGCTCTGTCTCCACCACAAGGTCAGTACCGGATTCGTGCTTCTCCACCTGAACTGTTGGTCTATTAAGTTGGTTTAAACCTAAGATGCCTAACAATAAACGAGTATTTCCTCAGAGAGTGGTAACTTACTCCAAATGTTTTTCACCTATCCTGGTTCATGATCAAACTTGCCGTCCAAGCGTACGCACTTGGTTACTCACCAATTTATGCGCACACTTCTTGAAGGCTGATTTAAGATCTTGGCATTATTCTACGATTCTCCAAGTCTACTGCGGTTAGGAACAGAATTTTAGAAAGAGATGAATTCCTTGTAATCTTTTTTTGCTTGGATACTTGAATTTCTTACCTTAACAGAGAAAAATGTAAGCTTCAACATATTTTCCATTCCACTAGCACCTTTTTCTACCATAATTTCCTTCGAAGTTTTAAGAGATTAATACGAAGGCTGTTCTAATTTGTTAACATCTACATTTTCCCTGTCCTCGTGAGTTGGAAGAGGGCTTGCTATTGTGCGACTAAGTATAACCCATGTCGACGGCAGTTTCTAGTATAGTTTACTCTTTACTGCGATATAGGTAAACTAATCCGTACTATTTGTTTTCATCCAGCAGCGTGACAATGACATCTAGCTGTTATTTATCTAATGGGTAAGAAGATGCATCGGTGTGTCCAGACGTCACTTATCTGATCTGTTATACAGCATATGATGAAGACGAGGCCATGTGGCTGGCTAAGAAAAAAAAATTGGACCAGTAAACTCTCGAAAAGCTTAATGTGTCGTTTTTTACCACCACCAGATCATCATCGTACATAACGGCACACTTTTAGTGTCCTTAAAAGAATTCCCAGATGGAGTGAGAAATTCTATGGAGAATATGCTTGGGCGAACGTGGTCGCTTTTAGTATCAGACGCTATAAGCTATTTTTTATTTCACTGACATGAATACGCTGCTTTATTGTAAAAGTGCTCTACTGGTTTAAGCTCACCGCATATTGTTTCATTTCCCTTAGAAAAGCAACAGATATGGTTGGTTCGATATTGTGACATTCTGGTGCTCCGTCAGATAAGAAAGTCATCGAGCCAGCAAGAGATAGCAATGAACTCTGCCAGCAAACCCTGCAAAGATCTTGAGGGGAATCGTTCAACTTTCAAAACATCTAGGGTTTACTGCCCACTTGTGACATTTCAACGGTGCAATGTGAGCTACAACCCGATGAAACGAGTCGTCTAGGTGGTTAATGTCGTAACGGAGATCCATCTGAATTATGTTTGTCAACATCAAAGGCTTCAAATATTTTGACTTGCAAAAGGATAAGATTTAGTTATGATACTAACTTTTTATTTGCTGCCTGCTACAATTTTTTTATGGCAGAGTACTATGCGAAATACAACCACAATGGTGCTAAAATATTTGCATAATTCCGAGCCGCAGGTGTTTGCGGTGGTTAACGAACGCGCTATTACCCTTTCCGGAGGAATAACGCGTTCACCACCACACCATGCGGTTATGAAGGTCTAAGCCTTTTATGAAATTAAAGTTTTTTCTAAATATCCTTTAAGTGATTTTTGACTTTTAGTAGTTGTCAGAGAATGATCTGGTCTATAGAACTGCCCGGAAATTTTTTTTACTTTTCTTACATTCTTATGTGAAGATTTTCGTGTCCTATTGATGCCTAGTCTCTATCTTACCCAATCTGTTACCCAGTTTGCTCAGTGAATGCTCTTTTTTCCTCAGTTTATTCCTAGGGACATTTTCTAGGTTAAAGGTTATGGTTTAAATCTTGGAGTTAGGCTTAAATTGCATATGAGGACGTTCACATGAAAGTGTTTGGTTAGAGGACTAGAGGACAATGCGGAAAACCTCGACATCGTTATTTTAGCACAAATCTTCTTGAAAATAACTTTAAATACAACGACAGTTTGTTAGGAAATTAGCCTTACTGATATTTCAATAGTGAGTGAATCCTCGTCAAGATGTAGAATCATCTGCTCGGTGGTTGAGGAGAACTCACAGTGTATCTTCACAGAAACATGCAGTTCGCCTGCTGGCACTCTAAAAGCGCTAAACTTCATTCAACTGGTTTTCAAGGCTCTTATCTCCCACCTCTCCTTTCCTTTCCATTTCGACGTGATGTACAGCCGTTCCACGCTCTCCTCACCATCTAGGTTGCGATGCATGAACACCTAGGATGTGTACCAGATTGAAGACTTCAGGTAACGAGTATGAAATTTCTTTTAGACATGCCGTCTATTGCAACATATGCAGTCGTTTTACGAGCACGTGCTATCATTTTATGATTTCACAAGTAGATCAAGACAAGGATTTGTGCATGCAGAGGCAAAAGAACGGTGATTTGTTTCCTAAGTAACATATCCTTAAATGATACGACTGAAATTGTGAAAGAATTTATAAGAAAGTGTGTCAAGTATTTACCCTGCTCTGTAAAGCATCTGACAGTTGTATTTTCTGTCTTTTGATGTGCAAGAGAAATGTTGGACTATCAGTAGAGGAATTATTCCGCAGAAACGTTGCTCTTCAGAACATACAGTGTGGCACCTTAGGTTTCTCTCCTTTCTTACCTCGTAGATGTCATGTGCCCGTGTACCATTGAGCTCTGCAGTCCTCAGCAGTCTATTCTCTTTGTGGACATTCATCTCTCCGTTGATTACATTCTCACTCATAAACGATAATCCGTACCATCGGCTCGGCTTCAGGAATGGTATCGTATAGCGCCCTGGTGATTACAAGCACTCGACATTATTTGCTATCATTGAAAAGGCGAACGTGTTCAAAATCTGCCAATTTGGTCACAGCCTTGCTAATATTTTGTAAGCGAGTCGCTACCAAGAGAATAACAACAAAAGGTTCGTCTCAATACTGAGCCGTTTCCCTATATTTGAATAAGCTACTTGTTTAATAATCTGCTGCTTAAAAAAGTTATGAAACTACTGAATATTCATTAACAAAATCGATAACTTTATATTAAATAAGCTTACTTGAACGGGTACATAAACGTTAGAGTGCTTTATTAAACATATTGTCCAAGGTTCAAATCACTTAAAATTCCGATATCCTGATTGATTGTGAATGAGTGCATCTTGGAATCTGTTTGCTTTCTCACTTGAATATTTGAATACATGAAAGAACCGCAGTGACGAATCATGAAGAATGGTGCCGACCCAAGTACAATTACTATCTGATGATTTCTTGTTGAACAAGACTTTCTTTTTCTCCCTTCTAGCAAGCTGTGCCAAAGTTTTTCCCTGGTCGTCGTCATTTTCTAGCTAGCTAGTGATCATGCCATTGTTAGGATGGCAGTGACTCCTCGCACTGATTTATTTATAGCTGCATTTCCGAATGAAAATGCCTCGTTTTTATCCTAGAAGACCTTCAACGAAAACGAAGCCTCGCCGTTTATCACAGTCCTGCACCTAAGAGCTCCCTTCTGTGCATGCTGAGGTAACGAAGCATTGCAAGGGGTTTTTCATCTGCATTTGTATGATCGAAAGAGTTTTGCTAGATCCTTTCATGGTGTTCTCAAAAAGCCACTGAGAGAGTGCAGGATCACTAAGTTCAGATCGAAGCGATAGCGGAAACCGTTTTTCTGAACTGCTTCCTCCACCACATGTTATTTCAGTTTCCAGAACCATATGTTGTTTAATAGCTCTGCCATCCTATATTGTCTGTCACCACTTTATCAATGTGGATGTTCGATTTAAACGCTATAAGCTCAAAAGGAACTGCCAGCCACAACACGTAGCCTTCAATGACGAAGATATGGACAAAATCCTTCCTGGGCAGGAATGATGCACAGAAGAGATTTACCGATGTATTTTTTTATCAACTACTCTTGAAACTTACAACGAAAACTAGTTTTCCTAAGAGATAGGCTTAGAATGCGTCGTCACCACTAATGAGAGGTTGACAGAACGAAAAACTAGAAAGGCCTTAAGGCTTGGTTCGGACACAGTACACCTGACACTGCTGCTAATAAACGCTAGTGAATGATGATAGAGAGACCTGCAACAGCATACGATGGAAGGTTTATCTAGTCATAAAATTTCGATCACGTTTTGAACCCCGCAGACTAGCGGTTGACAAAGAAGTTCGAGACTGACGGGATATGCGTGTACATCCAGTGCCTTCAGTGTGATTTTCAAAAGAAAACTCATGGAAGAAGACCTAAGCGAAACAATGACTGAAATAGAAAGTGCTTGTAGTAAAAGCAGATTGGGAATCGGAACTTTCCGGATGTTTTAGACCAACTCGAAGAGGTAATATTCGAACCTTTATTTACAACCGATTCGCCAAAGAACACTGTTTTTTTGAAAATATCTGCTACGCATTCTTGTCTTCTGGATTCAGACTGCGACCAACGTCCCCAGTAACGGCAGGTCTTCAGGAAGACGCCGAATTACAACCCATTTTTGCATAGATGAAGGTTATCCGTTACGGGAATTTGTCGCAATCTGCACGACCTCATATCTTCTCTGCGGAACTATTTCTCGATATTGAGCCTCATTCACATTCATTCCACGAAAATGAGATAGATACAACCACTCATACACGGCCATGATATTCTAACACGGAAAAGAGTACTGATGGAGTCTATCTAGGCGAAATGGGCAAAAAAAAGTAATGTTGTACCTACTGTAATAAAGTGAACCATCTTTCGCAGTGCACAATTTGTTTTTTAAAATGTGGTTTATTCCTTATTAACATTATCTCAGTAAGAACGAAGTACTTAAATGTAAGCTAAATTGGCAGATTATCCCATAAGTTCTCATTGTAAACCCTCCAGGTTCTGGGTAAATTCACGATAACTTTGCAAAATATTCACTGCTTGAACGCCATCTCATATAGCAGCAGGATCTTATTAACTCTGCAACGCCAAGAGAAACAGCTATTCACTACTTCAGACCGGCTTGTATTACTGCTGGTTTTATTCCGGAAATTTAACCGCTCTAAATACTCTTCGATCAGCTTTGTTAGTTTTAGGTTTTTTCAAAAAAGTGCTTCCAATTTATCATAGAGTCCAGATGTCTTTGAAGTTTTTTCGTAATAAATACATGGAAACTCTATGATTGCTGATGTGTGCAGAATAGCAAAACCTCTAGTGACGACGAGAAATAGTCCGATGAGGTCGATCTGAGGCAGAGTTCTATTCTCTTGGAGGTCCACCAGCTCGATGTGGATTTTCAACGAATCTACTGGTCCTGGAACGATAGTTTATATCAAAAAGATGAAACATAAACATCCCTGTTTTGGCCAATTGTTTTCAAACTTACCAACCCACGGCAAAAACAGTTCTTTGTCAAAATATCATGGTTCTAATTTATAAAATAAATCACAACAATAATGTTTGTGTGGAAATTAGCATGAAGTGCGTAATTCTGAGAAATTGGACACCTTCTTTAGTAGTTATGATGACGAATTGTGTCGGCTGTACTTCGACATCTTTGATCAAATCGATTTTGGATCTTGGAAGGTCCTCAGAGTGGAACAAGTGGTGGCATTCCTCCTTATATCGGAAACCATCAGTTGAGTTACAGATTATGCTGTCGAGATCGTGTGTATTTTTTGGAGCAGTTTCCATCTGCATGGCTTCCGACGGCGACGGTTCAAAAGAATAGTAATCAGTTATCTGGGCAGCATAATCAGCAAGGATCGGCAGAATCAGCAAGACCAACGCTGCTCTGAGTGCCGTAGATGGCTTCCTGCAGAGCATAACAATGCACTCTACTTATGGCACAATCAATTGCTACCACTTCGTACTGCATCGGAAGTAAGCAATTTTTTCGGAGCAACGGGCCACCTATGAGGATGTGAGTTGGTGGTAGTGTCTCAGTTGTTGAGAAGTGTGATATCGATCCGATTCTGTCCGAGACTTCTCCCATTCGATGAATCGGCAGGTGTCAAACCGTATTTGTTGTATAAAGTTTCGGACTACGTTTTAACCAAATGGAATTGCAGAAGAGTATATAAAAAGAAATTGGTAGGAGCATCAAGTATACAAAGTTCGGAAGAACGAAGGGTTTCAGTTCAAAGAAGCCTGAATAGTAGGTTTAATTTGTGCAGTGAAAAAACGTGGAAGTGAGATAGACTTACTAAGTCCTTACTTACAGTGTGGTTCGTGGACATATCAAAGTGACGTTGTGAATTTCCTCGTCGAAAAAGAAGAAATCGATCTTGGTGACTTTTATGACAATCAGGTAGGACAATGTCTGTCTCAAACGAAATGGTGTACCCTAAGAGAACTTTTATAATTCGCGCTAGGACGCCATTATTGTTGTACTGCAATGAAAAGTGACCAAGTAAAAGAAGGAAACAACGCGGTATAATAGTATAAAAAACATTGACACAACCAATCATTGTCCTGACATTGGTCTGGATTTACCGTAGTAATATGTCGCCGTAGTAATTCAACACTACACAGGATCAACCAATTATGAACTTTGTTCCTTGCAACCTACATAACAAAGATCAAGAGAACTCCCCACGTCTTGCGTCCGAGCGACAACCACAGGCCAAAAATCATGGCCCCTGCGAAGTTCTGCGCGACATCAAAGGTATACAGGAGTTTGATTACCAACCTAAACTTGTCCACGAAAACTGAGAATTATAAAAGGACGATGCCTTCTAGCGAGTGGGACTGGGGATTTGCTTCTGCCCATTCAAATCACTTGCTTGTAAGTGGAACGATAGGTGACACAGGCGATGTAGCCTTTATTTGTTTCAGGAATGGCTCTTGACAGATGCACGTCTCCGTAACGGAACGACGAGGTTACTGGAGCTATCGAACGAGAGCGTGGCTATGGTGTCAATGAGACTGAACCTGAAGAGGCAAAGCTTCTACTACGTGTTCAATCTGGTCTTCCCCACCACACTGGTGAGTCCGCAAACGAGTTTCTTATCAAAAGTGGTTTTGCGCTTAATTGGCATTTGTCTTCATAGATACACCCGATTTTTTTTACCTCAGTGGAATATATTTTCTACTTCACGGAATCATAATTCAAGAATTCTCCGGGCAATTATAGCAAAGCGATGAGCAGTTTCAGCTTTGACCAATTCATCCTCTAGGAGTGCGCCCTGTACTAGACACTGTTAAGAACGTGGCGACGATTGAATGTATACTAAATCTGTGCAATAACTTTCTGTGGTTTTCCGATATAACAATTCAGTGTCTTCTTCCTTATCGAGAACCTTGGGACCAATTTTCCAACCTTGGCAAGAGAGCGGGCTTGAGTATTAAGGGATATACGGTCAAGCCAGCGACCGTGTGTGAGGAGACCTTGAACAACTGTACCAATAGTTCCGAAACAGTTAACTGTTGATCGATTTTCTCGCTTGGTAACTTTGTTATGATACTGCTTGTATTCGATTTATTACGCAATCACATTCATTTACTCGACAGGTCAACCTCTATTCAGTTGTTTCGGCTATCCTTTCTGGGTTTTTGAATGCTCTCAACTATCCGTTCACGCAGGAGCACAAAAGCAGAGGAATTAACGCGACACTTGTCAAATTTTTGTTGCCCTTTCGACGAGCCTTTGTTTTAATTTATGGATCGAACATTTGAGTATCACGTTCAAATACGGAGGCTTTTATCATTGAACAAAACGTAGTGCTAGTCAAATGGCGGTTCGAGCGCAATATGTGTTGCTATCATAATTGGCGCTTATTGTGACAGTAATTGTTCGGAACTGAGAAAAGACGAGAATTATACGACTAAACGTCGAAACCATGCGGATTATGTAGAGAAGTTTATCTTCCATGTTGTTAAAAAAAGAAGACAAAGCTCTTGGCGCTGGTAAATCCTTGACGGATGCACCAGGTATTCGAAGTCGTTAAGCATCATTTGGAGGTGATTGGATGCAGGTGATAACCTGAATTACCCGTAGTCCCGTTGATCGTCGAGTGACTCAGGTGGGCGCCAGTAAATCTTCCATTTTTCCCTGTCGAGTGCAAGACTAGCCCAGTGGGTTCTGCTCGCTCTAGGGACTCGTCGAGCATCATATACTCTTCTAGGCTCTTCGTGAAGAACTCTGTACATCGGGTCGGTGGTCTTCCTTCTGTAAGTGTAAATCCCGAGGAATCCAGTCACTAACGCCTCTTGTCCATCGGTTGTCATTCATACGCATTACGTGTCCAGCCCACCTTATTTTCGACTGTTTGGCGTACTGAACGGCATCTTGATTTTTGACCGTTCACGCAGGTCGGAGCTTCGGATCCCATCCCTTACTTTGTGTGGAACGGGATACTCCTAGCATCGTCCGTTCGACTGCACGTTCGATAACGCTGAGTGATCTTTCATCCTGCTCCGCAGCGGCCAGGTTTCTGACACATACGTCAGGGCAGAAAGTACCGTTGAGTCGAAAAGGTGGGCATGGAGTCGGGTGTTCTTTGTTCTCCTTGACACTGCATTGTCGATGCTCTTGGAAACTCCCCAAGCTGCTCGTTTCCTTCTGCTCAGCTCTGGAACTGGGTCGTTCATCATATTGATTTCCCGGCCTAGACAAATATAACTGGAGCATTTGGAGATGTTCGTTCCGTTGAGCGTGAATGCGACATGGGAAACCAGTCCGTTCCTCATGAACATCGTCTTTGTGAGGTTTAGTCTTTCCATTCTTTCCACAGGCTTTATCAAAGTCGGCAAGCATACGTTCCGCTTGGCTAATTGCTCTTATAAGAGCGATGTCATCAGCAAAGCGAAGATGGTATGACTGTCGATCATCGTTTTTCACTCCCATACTATCCTGTTCCAGTGTTCGCATGATGTTCTGGACGGTGGCAGTAAATAATTTTGGCGAGCTGGTATCGCCTTGCCTAACACCTCCTTTGACATCAATGTTAATATCGTTGTAGAATGGTGATACCTTGGTTGTGAAATTTTTGTACAGCTCACGAAGAATCTTTATGTACTGAGTAGGGACTCCTTGACTATCAAGGGCTTCCAGGACTGCTTCTATCTCAACTGAATCAAAGGCCTTCTGTAAATCGATGAATGTGAGACAGAGCGGTCTTTTGCACTCTCGCGATACTTCAATGAGCCGTGTTATCGTGTGGATTTGGTCCATCGTACTAAATCCTTTTTAAAACCCTGCTTGCTCACATGGCTCTCCTTCGCCTAGTGTTCTGTCAATCCTGTTTAGGATGACTCGAGTGAAACGTTTGTAGACGACAGACAACAAGTAGATTGGGCGATTGTTGCCGATGTCGTGTAAGTCACCCTTCTTGAACAATAACACGGTCTTGCTGGTTTTCCACTGAGTATGGACCTTGCATTCAGACAGGTAACGTGTGAAGAGCCGAGCCAGTGTGTTTACGAGGACTGACGCAAGGTTCTTCACAAGTTCTGGTCTTATCCTCTTCGGACATGGTGTTGTTCGATTTTTCACCGACGAGATGGCATGTCGGATTTGGAAGGAAGAACCGGTGGTGCAACATATTCGTCTTCCCATCTTCCTTATTTCATATGACGGAAGGTGAACGTGGCTATCGAAGAGATCTAAGTAGTATTCGTGAATGATTCTTTCCCTTGCCTTTCCGGACGCTGTAACTGCTCCGCCAGAGCGTCGGAGTGCAGTCAACTTGTTCTTGTAATTGGCGAAGCTTCGGTGGGTTTTGTGAATGCTTTTCCGAGGCTCCGCAGCTTCGACATTACCGCTGCTCTTCTCTCTTTAAGATCTTCTTTTATCGCCTGACTGCATTGCTTTGCAAGTTCGGACGTGGCCTACCAATGTATCGAGCCAGTGCTGCCCCGACAAGTCTGGCGCAAATTTGCCGATCCTGTAGGGATGGGAAGCTTAGTGAGCCACGGGTGCAGAGATCGATCCTATGTTTGCGCCGCAGGGCGCCTCCGACCGCTGCTCCACGCACGTCCCGATGGTGCTACCGACGAACAATCGAATCCACCTGAAGTAATGGCGTTATCGTGGAGAAGGTAAAGTTAATCTCATCTTATACAGAGACCATAGATTAGATTTTCTTAGACGTCCATATCAAGTCGAGGTTCGTCTGACTGTAGTTCTCATCACAGTGTGTCACAGCGGTCTCGTCTGCAACACAGTACCTCTCAGATTATGAGGGCTGCGAAATATGAAACTTTCCACCATTGACGTGATGTGTTAGAACCAGTAATAGTCAGTAGAATAGTTGATGATGCCTTCTCCGTACAACGTCTATACTTCATGTTAGGTCCTGTAACAAACGTACTGAGCGGGCAATTAAAGGATTATTCGACTCCGACGTTTCTCCATTTTGTTTGTATTTCTCTGTTTTATAAGCCCACTTATTCTTTCACCATTAAAGGAAACCGAAGCGTTATACTCCGTCCTGGGAAATCACGTGGCTAGGAACAATTCGAAATGAGGAAAAACTTCTTCGAGAGAAGAAAGAATTATTTTCCAAGCTTAATGTCGCTATTCATTTTGATTCCTTACAGCTATCCAAGTTGTTCAGGTATCGCTTGTTGCCGTCATCGGCTTCCACGCCCCAATAAATGCAACGGGACGACGAGAAAGCAAATTTCGCCTCGGTCAGTATTAGTACTCCGCTGTGCTTCATTCAGCAAAATCGTCAGCGCTGTCAGCGATTTTCAGGAATAATGACGTTGCTGTCGATGTCAGTTATGCTTCTGATGTTGGTGGGTGAGATGAAATTCGCCATGGAGAGCGTGCCGGGTCAGCGAGGATCGTTTAGCGACGTTCCTTTACTGGGTATGCAGACATGTTTACTTTTCCACGTTTTTTACCTCATACCGCTTTATGTCCAATTATATCCTTCTGCGTTCCTTGAAAAAAGTTTACCTGCAGTTGCGCTTAATTAAAACTGCTTCACAACAGAGAAACAGAAATCGTCAAGAACTCCCAGAGGTTCGGGGAGAGGGGGCAGGGATATGAGAAAAGAAAAGGAGAAATACAGAAAAGACTACGCGAAATACGTGACGATATAGGATGTTCCGGAGCGTAGCAACCGTTCTTAGCTGATTTGATTTGCACACAAGCTTGAGAGCAGTATTTCGAGAGTGCTTCACTTTTGGTGTTCTGAACCAAAACCTGCCATTCCTGGTTTTGAGAGTACAAAACAACGAGTGGAAGGTTCTCTCCCTTTTCCTTTCCCCTCGAAACAGCTTTTCAGTTTCCTACCAACCACCACCAAAAGAACTTTTCCGCACTTTCATTCTGAAATGCCGTGATTCCGTTTTCTGTATCTCTGTCGCTATAAAGTAAAACGTTTCGAAAATATGTTTTCCACGTATTTTTCCCATATTCTTCAATAGCCGTGCTATGTCACCTTAGTAGAGATGGCTGCAAATTATTGAGCCAGAAGCAACTAGCTAAATCTTTTCTCGATCTGATATAGCGTAGAAAACCAAGCATATTTTAGGAATTTACTATATGAGTCTGATTTTTATTATCAGTATTGCTACCTGTACCTCCAGTGTATTCGTTCATCTGGAAAAATACGCGCTTCGGAATCCTACGTGGCAGGTCAGTTACTGTCTAGCCTAGTTCCACTTCCAGGTGATGTTCTTGATGATATTCTTTGCTGAAAAACACCAAACAAAACGCTAAAAATAAGATTTCCAAATTCTTTGTGGCCTACTTCATTGACAAATTTAGTTTAACTGCAACATTTGAAGGTGAAGAGTGAAAATATGAGAAAATATACAGTAATAATGATGCAGAGATATTTGAAAAACTCCGGACCGCAAGTGGCTGCGGTGGAAGAAAGGTGAAGGGTGAAACAAAGGACTCGTATGGTGTGGCGATGAAGGCGCTAGCTCCCGGAAAGGGTAATAGCGCGTTCGCTCCCCGCCACAGACGCCTGCGTTACGGAGTTTTGCAAATGTCTCAGCATCATTATTGTTGTATTTCACATAATAACTTGCCATGAAAATGTAGTAGGCAGTAAATAAAAGGCTAACATACTTATACAGTCATGTTTCCAACTTTACGCTCCAAAACTACGTCGAATGCGCCTCATTTCTTCAGTAAAGATATTCGAGTAGGAACTCCCTCGTCCACAGAGGTGTCCTCCGAGGAGGGCGGCGATCAGAGCTAGATCAGACAGTAATATGTCCAACCTGGCTGAAAGTCAGCGTCAGCTGCAGAAGATTGACCGGCAAACTTACAGTAATGGAAGCAAAAACAAAGCTGGGAGGAGCTTTAAAATTATTGATTTAAACATCAAAATGGGGCGTTATAATGTGCTGCTATCAATCCTGATTAGGGTAGGGCTAGACTAGCACTACCTTACGCCGTGCTATGGAATTCATAGCGGAAAACTCTAAGTTGGCTTTTGGAACACCCCGTCCCGGATTGAAATTAAGCCACCGCTCGTGGTTTCCCATGAAGGATTCGATTCATGGAAAAGAGTTACTCAAACGGTTGACATGTCGGCAGTCTCATGATTGCTTCCGGCGCCTTAGTCCCCATAGTCGTACTGTGTTGACTTGAGTGCAGACGAACATCACACGTATGAAATAACATTATTCAAGGATTTCATTCAGCATCATTGTAGTTCTAATTCACGTAACAATCTGGTGAAAAACTGCAGGTAGTAAATGAAATCTTAACATTATTCGAAGGTTTTCTTGTCGTACATGGTTCTAGGCCGATCAACCATTATCGGCCGGTTATCTCTCTTCTTCTCATTCTAACCTTTTCTGGAACATTGGAAAAATGTTAGTGCCCACATATAAAAGCAAATATGGGGGAACGCTCCTCTGGATTCAGCTTGATCCGACTTGTGTGACAAACGCATTGCCGGAAATAACTATATGGCTAACATTCGACCCAACTTCTGAAATTGCGGTGTCAGAGAAACATCGGCCATCATGAACAGTTCTACCAACCTCATAAAGGTTTATTCATAAAGCAAGCTATTTATTATCGCAATTCTAACTTATTACTAACTGCCTACTCTTTTTAACGGCAGGGTATACATTGTGAAATATAACTTCAATGATGCTGAGATATTTGCAAAACTCCGGACAGCAGGTGTCTATGGTGGGGAACGAACGCGCTATTGCCCCTTCCGGGGAGTAGCGCGTCCACCGCCACACCACGCGGGTCCTTCGTTTCGCCTGTCTCTCAGCTAGTTTTATCGATCACTGCCATCACCAATCATCCATCAGCGGGATTGATCTGGGGGGCCCAAATCGGCAACGAACCCAGTTAAGCTGAGGACGCAGTTATAAACACAATTTTAACTTATTATTTACTGCTTACTCTTTGCTGATGGGTGATTGCTGATGGCAAAAGATCGATAGAACTAGCTGATAGAGAGGCGAAACGAAGGACCCGCGTGGTGTGGTGGTGGACGCGCTACTCCCCGGAAGGACAATAGGGCGTTCGTTCGCCATCGCATACACCTGCGGTCCGGAGTTTTGCAAATATCTCAGCATCATTGAAGTTATATTTCACAANCCTACTCTTTTTAACGGCAGGGTATACATTGTGAAATATAACTTCAATGATGCTGAGATATTTGCAAAACTCCGGACAGCAGGTGTCTATGGTGGGGAACGAACGCGCTACTCCCCGGAAGGACAATAGGGCGTTCGTTCGCCATCGCATACACCTGCGGTCCGGAGTTTTGCAAATATCTCAGCATCATTGAAGTTATATTTCACAAGTTATTTGTTATTTATGCTGGAGTCGCGTGTGGCGCAGTGGTCGGAGGCGCCCTGCAGTACACGTGGGATCGATTCCCCACCCAGGGCTCACTGAGCTTCCCATCCCTCTGTGGGAGATAGCAGCACTGGCTCGATGTATCGGTAGACCACTGTGATTCATCTTAAAGACCAGATATGCGTTCAATCACCTCCAACGATGATTAATGAAGTGGATTGCATGAAGCGTCCCTCTGGGATTGATTAAGACTGACGGCATTATTCTTCTATCCTTTTTGCTGAAGTCAGAAAGGTGTTGTGAAAATTTTCTTCGTTTATAAACCACCCATTAATCATGCAACGTAGGCGTATGGAATTAATCCCGGCATCGTTTTGTCGATCCTAGCAGCGACATTTAACCAGCTTGACACCAGCTTCCTGTCCATGAGGATTTACCTCCAGCTAATGGAAGCATTTCATAGGAACAGCGACATCTCGGAAGAGGATTTTCAATTTACTTTTTGCTCGCGAAAAATTGCGATGTTTGGACAAAAATTAGAAAGCTTTTTAGTGGCTCTTAAACTTCTTCAGAAATTTTTCTATGAAGTCACCCATGAATTCCTTAGTGGGTTCAAAGGTTTTAGCATATTGTTGCAGTACTGTGATACTACATATTCTTTGATAATAATGCATATGTAGCTATATTTTAGAAAGAATATTAATGACGGCAACCGTGTTCTCCACCATATTTGTGGTTACTATAGTTATTTATAAAATTCTTCTAGAAACTGAGACGTTTTCAAGATTAATTTAGCCTACCAACTTTAAGCAAGCACATGTCACCTCAAATCAAAGCTCGTCAATTTAAAAAACCGTAAGAATCCACAAATCTTCCCCAACAAGTTGACCTGTTGAACAAGTGGTATTTCGTCTAGTAGGACATGATGGTGTCTCCGAGTGTACTTCGTCCAATAGGGCATGAT